GCTCACCCAGAGCAGGAGATTCTCTCCACCCTCCCCTCAAAGACCCTAACGCTCACCATGAGCGGCTTAGGGCGGGGAAAATCATCCATCACCGACGGTGGCGTCATAGACGCAAATGATGCAGACATCTTCTGCTGCAGGAGCTCTAGCAGCGCGTTTTCGTAACTTGAAAACGCCTCTAGACGCGCACCGATCCCGTTGGGACCTTGCGCTTCAAGTTGTTGCACGCCCTCGGGGACATCAGCTTGTTAAGCCCGTCCTGCATGCCCTGGGGCAAAGAGGGGAATTCCTCCGTCCTCAAAGAGGATCAGTCTAAACGAACTCAGGTGTAGATTGACTACAAGTGCTACCAAGTGCAGTGGGACTGCCGTAGCTTAGCACTTGAGGAAGCGTAATTTAGGTCACCGAACTTTCGTTCTATACTTAGAACAAGAACAAGTTTAGCGGATCGCATTTCGCTTACTCCAAAAGTAATTATTGCCTTACCCACGACTAATGAGCTCTTCCGTCTAAAATCCAAAACCATGTTTTTGTATTCTAATTTTAAAAGTTTAGTTTTATCTGAATTTACTAAATACATATAGTAAAATCCAAATACATGTATAAACTACTGGCTACCTAGCCCCGTGCCGTATTTTTGTTTGGGTCTGGTCACACTATGCACATCTCGTGTGACACACACCCCTGTTACCAGGGTGCGTGTAACCCCGTTATATTCACCTTCTCAGCTGATAATATCATTTCCGGCAGCCGAAGTCTTGACATCAGTAGCAAGGTCGGTTTTAGTAGATCGCGAACAGTGCGTCGAATAAACACAAGTGCAAAATCCGATATCCTGGACTCACGCCGAAGTGACATATAACCACGCTTGCCTATCAGCCAACTCATTTGGTATTAACCATCACCTTAGGGTCATTTGAAACTATTTCATATACTTTGAACAATTAGCTCGTATCAAACCCAAACATACTTTCTTGACTCTAGGCGTGAACACGTGAAGCCCTGAAATTGAAGCATTGCCAATTGTTGCTATGGCTCTACTCTGCCCTTTTCCATATTTCAACATTTATCTTAGGGAGAATAAAAAAATGCCAACTTTTGCAGCCGGGGAGCCGTAATATTACACAACAGAAGATGTATTGTATAAGGAATGAATTAGCATAATTTAACAAAATACCCCACAATATTTTTTTTTATATGGCAAAAGTTGGGGCAATTTTTTATTCTCCCTAGATAGAAATATATCTATTTTCAACAAAGTAGTACTTTGTTATTTGTGATGGTTATATACCATATTAATGTATACTTTGTTATTGTGGGGTATTTTGTTAAATTATGCTAATTCATTCCTAATACAATGCATCTTCTGTTGTGTAATATTACGGCTCCCCTGTGATAATTTACGTGCTGGGGTATTTTTTTATTTTTTGAAAAGTTGGGATATTTCTCTTATATATGGCAAAAGTTGGAAATTTTTTTTATTCTCCCTATATATTATATCAAAAATTGAGCAGTATAATTTATGAACATTCAAATTAAATTTATCGTTCCAGTTTTCTGATCACAATATACATGTCTGATTTTGACAAGATGAAAAAAAGCTTTAAACCACTGGCTTAAAGTGCTCATTATTATCAATTCGAGAAGATCATCTTTACTAACGGCTAGATTACTCTCAGTTGCATTTGAAGGTATGGTCGTAACCCTTCCTCAAGAGTCGGTACACGCAACTTGCGTAGGGCAAGATGAGGTTTCATGACATGGCATTTGACTGATCTGGAAGTATGTAAGCAATAAATCTCTTTTGTTGAAATCGTACACAGCTGCTAACCGCCTCGAAACAAGTGCGTAATCGCATTAAAATAATTCAGTACAATTATACGAGTTTACATTGCGCTTTGGAAAAATGGAGAGTATTCTTGGTTGCTGAAATAATGGAATACGTAAACCCCATAAAGATGAGATGTGTGGTGCACACGGGCTAATCAAATAAAAGAATTCCTAAATATATGCACTTTTGTATTAGCAAATTAGTACTGGACAACTAGCTACGCTAGAGGCTCTCTGTTCAAAGGGTACGAAACCAAACTCGAAGCGTTTGTAAACGCGGGCTCTATGAGCCGAGGCGTCATTTGATTAAAGTGCCCGATATCCGTTGGGCGAGTAAAGAGCCAGACACAGTAATCGTTCGGCTGAAGGTGTTAACCAGCTATAAAAACGAAGTGGTGGGATACATTCAGGAGCTCCCCAATCGAGCGCCGGAGGAAAAACGGTTGGCACCCACTGAGAGACCGCTAAAGTTGAGCGTCCAGGCCTTTGAGGGCTAGACGGAGAAATCAGCTTCTTTGGACGAGGGACGTCGAAAATGCCGTTAATTTGGCCATGCCCGAATTGGAGCAACACAGCATCATGCATGAAGCTTTCAAGGGAAGAGGCTTGCAAAAGAGTGGGCATCAATGTACAGGACAGCTATGTAGCACTTGTAGTCAATTCCCCACCGACTCGTGAAAGGGCTAAATCTGATGTTTTGAGTTGTTTGACTACATATCCGAAGACAACTAGACCAACTTAGTAAACCTTTGTCGTTTGTTGGTACAGACAGGGTCAGAGATGTCGACCCCTGACATAGACACATTTAAAGCTATTAATATTGCGTTCTTTTGCCCCACCAAATATTTGGTTGTGTCCCAAGTCTGTCAAGGGAGGCGGAAACTAGCTAATCATGCCTAGGACTTGCGAACCTTTATGGTCGCGATTGCGGCAAAACTTTTTTAGGAGGCGAAGCAGCAACTGTCTTCTACACGAACTCCGGATAGGTGTAATCGCACCAAGCTTGCGCGCCCACCTTACATTTTTGAGATAGCAATAAATGCTGCATTAGATGCGAATTTCAAGTTTCTGATACCGAGGGTCGGTTAGATTCTAGGTTGAAAATCACGAACGCTGAAGCAGTTTTCTCTAAGAAGTGTAGGGGTCATAGTCGGGTTATTGGTGTTTAATGCTTATGTCCCGGGCCTTGCGAAGCCGTGGAAGCTTGATTAAAGTCAAGAGCATCGTGCAATTGCACAGGATGCTCAACTATTAAGAACTGAAGGCAGCTTGCGGAGGCATTGGAAATACCAGACACGGATACACTTCAGGTTCAGGTGCGTCTTGTGGTGAAGACACTGGCATAAGTATCAAAGGTGACTTTAAACCTTTTAGTGAGGTTTAGGGATTTTGACAGCTTGGGATGTGTCGAGTTCCGGACCAGAATAGGATTTGAGGTATGTCCTCATTTTAGTGATAATATGGTAGAAACGTCACGAGCAATACAATGACTGAAAGTCATAGAAATGAGATCCATGCTCTTCTTTCCTGGTGGGGCTCAGACGAGTAAACAAACCACTTCTGCCATGATGCAGAACCGCACACATGAAGCCGTGTTAGCTTCCGTAAATATGAGACTGTCCGAAACTGATAGGAATGATATTGCTAGGCGCTTTGAGCAGTCAGAAGCGGTAGTAAGCTGTGTTGCTGCTTCACTTTCTTTGACTCTCGAACTAAGTTGAAGTTAGTTCAGAATAAATAGCCGTCAAGCTGTTAATAAAAGCATTGTAGTGCCTTCTTTCCACATAACGGAGCACATTTCCCCATTGCGTTTGCTAAATATCGAGCCACTATTACCAGAGTGCGTCATAAAATTGCCTTGGCTTCGAAGCCATATGTTGCATAACACGCCAATATATCTTCAGAGTCAGTACCAGTTCGTGCGTCAAAATGGCTTAGCGCAAGTGCTACATATATGCCCTAATTGGATAAACACACAACAAAATGTACATGCAACATTTAATACAGCTATTTATACCACATCGTGGCAATGTACAAGACTATTTTAACGGCATAGCACACGAAATTTCGGATATGGAAACCATTCTACATGCTTGCGAGCAGCGCTCGAGTGATTGCGTATAAATGAGCTATACATCAATAAAGGCAAGTGTATGTTTAAAACTTGCTTCATGGGTTGCATTATTGGGAAGTTTGGACTGCCAGTCCCGGTCCTCAAGGACTTGATATAGTAATTTGGTAATTTGGGTTTGCAAAATATGCCGTCATTGCACGATCCCTCATCAATCTGATATAAAAGTTTCAAAATGGGACCGGAGTGCGGCACACAAATTTAAACGCTCTCATTGATCCAAACGCAGTTTCAGCTGAAACTCCAATTCGAACAGACTTCTGTGCGGGTCAATAGTAATGGGTAAGACATTACGGAAGTCGATCGCTTCCAAGATCGCCTTACACCAGGAAGTCTTGTCGTGACTGCGTTTCTTATGTATGCAGTGTGGCATTGCAATCTGCGTCCGATTTATCCACTACCCTGCATGGAATTGAGCGGTCATCAAGCTTTGCTTGATGATATTTGCATCGCAACGTGCATCCACTTCCGAATTGCAATATTTGCCACCATTATTGCTTGGCAATACCTCGGCAGTCACCCTCACATCCAATTTGATTTCGTCCCGTAATGACTCTACAACATGACAATAGATACGATGTATTTGGATATTGACTGAGATGCTGGTGTAACCGGTCCGAGTATATCAAATGCTTTCCCTGGGTCTGCTCTTCATGGACCCCAGCTCATTGTTACTTGAGTGGAAATATATTCGCACATTTTTTGCTGTTGCTTATAAACTACTATCAGCTAGTGAACGAATGATGCACTCGTCTTTGACCATGTCATACAGCGTGGTGATTGTCCGATGCCTTAACTTAATGCCATCCTCCATGACGTGGAACTCGCTCCTTCGATCGGCGTTGTGACAAGACAACTCTAATTGCTTCCAACTAGCTGCACCGGGTACATTTCCACGTCTCACCATACGCTGGCCTATTGTCAGACTGACCGACATTTTTTCTCACACCGTTGCGGCTGAGAGTGAAACAGATTCTTGTCCAAAGCTTTTACGTTCAGCACGCATTCCAGACAAGTGTTGATTCACGAGCGCTCAGTCCATACTTGTAGCACCACTAATTTGTAGCTATCAAACTCCAACTCGGTAATGTTCGTTGCCCTTGACACATTGTGTAGTGTCTTTATCCCCAAAGAGTCCTCAAAATCATCGCGCGTCTTAGTCATATGTAAAGACGCCCCACTACCACAAGGAGCTAGATGTCCTGGTGTACTATGATACATTTCCAGATATGCCAAGAATAACAAGGGGTATTATTTACTTTATGCTGATGATTAATCGACCCCAAAAAGTATAACATTTGCTGAGCGTCTGTCGAGAGAGATGTCAAAGGACACCTTCAGCAAAGGTGTGACTAACGTCGTCAATGGCGAAGCGGTCGAAGACACCACAAAGGACACAAATATCGATGATGGCTTCTGCATACCGAAATGTAACTGCATGATGAAGCAACTACGATCAAGCATAACAGACTCAATCACCCAATAGAAACACGTGCGTTAAGTATACCTGGCAGGACTGGAGAAGAAGAATAAATGACACTACCAGAGTGCAAATTCGTGAAATGGTACATTATCAATACGAAACCCTGACATGCGGCAATGATAGTTCAACTTGAATGACGTGTAAGATGACTACGTTTCAAACTTCTGTTTGCACCCGAGATCGAAGAAGGTGAGCGTGCCGTGCCATACGAAGACGACATGCGAATCAAGAACGAGAGATTTTTTTTGTGCTATGGAATTTCTAGAATATCACAGGACGAAAAAGCTCGTGAAAATGCCCGATACCAAGAAAGCCATTAGGCTCAAGTGGAAGCTCTTGCATTAAGCGCGATGCAGATGAGAACGTTTTGAAGTTCAAGTCACGCCTGGTGGCAAAGAGTTTTACGCGGCGTCCCGGTACCGTCTACACGAAGATATTTGTTTCAGATACGCGGGGGGGCTATCAATGCTACGCTGTTAATTACCGCAGAAAATAGATGGAGGCTGAAAACGTGGACGTGATTACGCCATGAAGCGCTTACTGCAGCAGGCACTCTACGGCACGAATCAGACAGCACCTCAAATGAATCAAAATGCCGAACGAGCCAATCAAAGAAGAAGGTCTCAAGCGCTCCGATGCAGAAACTTGCGTATATGCCCGCTTGTTAAGCACTGAGTTCAGCATCATTACCACTAATGTGGACAGCCTCATCCTATTCAGCATCATGAAGACAAAGATTACATCGATCAAGAATGGAAATAAGAATGAATTCAGCATCAAGGACTCATTTTACTAAAAAAGATCTTCGCTTTCAAAATTCATCGTGACTGTGATGACAAGATAATCAATATAAACAAGCGGACGTACATCAAGTGGCTCACAGAGAAGTTTGGTGTAGATATGTGTAAGGACGTGTATACTCTGGCTGACAGAATTTCGAAGATAATGAAGCCATAGGAAGAAGAACCGTTTTAGCTTCTGCGAGTGTTCTCGCTGCTTAATCAGGCATATCGCGTGAGATGGCGGTTCCTTGTTGCCCAAAAGGGCAAAAAGGAGATGGTGTACTTTGTCCAAGAGTTGAGAACTCTTATTGCTGGGGTGACAGCAGATCCTCTCAGCAAAACGGTCGCAGTGACCGTCTTTTTGGACGGCCTCCGCAACTGGCGTGACCAGAGTAGAAGTCTTCCGTATGCATCCGTCTTCTTGTGAAGAAGCGGTGAGCGTGGCTATGTATGCCGAATTCAACTTTAAGTCGGCACGACTTGGTTGGAATGTACACCCTCAGAGCTCGTCTGAGCCAATGGTTATTAGGGAGAGCTCCGAACTGCTGAGCAGCGTGTATACTCCCGACGGTGTTTTGTTTGTGGAGACACACTTCACCTTTGGACTGGCTGTTCCCTGCGCAAGGCGCGTAAAGGTTCGTTGAACCGACGTCCCGCTTCTCACCAGTCTTTTGGTTCGTCGACAACACCCAGTAGTTACAAGGCGCCCTACTCATTGAGAATTGAGCTCTATTGAGCCTCAAAAAAGTAAGAGCAGCAGAGCCTTGCCCCGAAGAGCTGTACTCTTGAACTCGGAACGTGTGTAAGCCGGACTTGCTGGTCGTAAAAGCGACCGTGAAGGGCTTTTAGAAGCCACGGAAGGTCCTGATCGATTCCGGGGCGTCGGGCAGCTCGATGCTCCACGATCGAAGGAAGCCAGCTGCATACTGAGGCGCTGGAAGCGCGGCTGAGTGACACCGTCACTGTTCGCTTAGCGACGAGGACTTGTGTCACTGTGCCGAGGGTTCTGTGGACCTCGGTGTTAAGTTCCTTGATTTTGATAGTGTTTCACACTACCAAGTCTTAGACTTGGATGCAGGGTATGACCTTATCCTTGGTATGACATGGTTGGAATACTTTGAGCTATGTATTGATCAGAGGTCGAAAACCTTGGGCGCTACGCGCACGTCACCTAGTTTGCTAGGAAGCAGAAGCGCTATTGGCACGGGCACTGGACCGGGACGGTCAATGTGCTAGATATCGGAGTATCCGAGTTGTCAAGCAACGAAGGTGTATTGGACAAGAGTCCCGAGCGTGGCTCGCGGGCTGGACGTGGAGTGGCACGTGACCCACTGAGTGCTGCTCAAGTATTAGAGCAGTCACTGCATGCCAAGAGTGGCACGGTCGGCCAGGGGTCGAGACATCAAGAGCTTGACCCTTGTTATACATGTGGAGCGGCACGTGACCCACCGATCACTGCTCTTATCTAGACGCAACTGCTGCGTGCTACGAATGACATGGTCTGACGTAGGTCCGAGATATCAAGGGCGAGACCCTTGTGATGCGCGTGGAGTGGCACGTTATTCACTGGACGGAGACTGCGAAAATAGCAGCTCTTCGTCGGATGTTGTTTTTTAGCACCAAGCCTTTGACCGAGCAGGAAGTGGGGACACTCGACTACGCCGAGTGCGTGTTCCCACTGGTCTCGATGAGACGTATAATTCTATAGAGGAGTATGATATCTGCAAGACACAGGGCGTCGACTCTGACCCAGGGTGTGTCTACCGTAGAAGATAGCGCACAATTATCTTATGAAGATGATCAAACTCCGTCAACGGCCAGATTTATTGAAATTGACATGAAGTTTTTTAGTGATAGATAGTAAAGCATACATATTTAGTATTAGTCAAAATATAATTATTCCAAAACATATGCACTCTTGAAATAGCAAAGCAAACAAAACATATCGTTACGGTGAAGATTCTCGATTCCACTTTTGGTGGAACTTACGAGCCCAGCTTCTTCTCGCTAAATAACAGGGACTCTTTGAGTCACAGCTTCCTCTGTGCAAAGTGCACGGCAACCGAGGCGGTTAACAATGCAAATCATATAGGCTTGTTATTGCGATAGTTAGACAAATTTAAAACTATAAGTTTGATTGGATTAAGTTTATAATCTTACATTTGAGTGAGAGCAGATGCAGTTTTGACTCTGCGAAGTTTTAGATACGCCTTTTAAAACGAAAGGATGTGGCTCGCCGGTCAGCGAGTGGCAAGATAATTCTTGACTCATAATTCAAGCCTGACATATGTTCAAGAGTATGTCTAGCTTAAATTGACGTGAATTATATCTGTCAATAATTACACTATGTAATGCATAGCACGAAGCTAGCGATCCACGTATCCCACGAACCTCTTTTTGCGAGCTTACCATAGCCAGTCGTGATACTTCATCATGATAGTGAATCTGATTAATTGAAGATTCACTGTATGCTCGGGGAACAAACTTGACGATTTAAGTTGTAACTGTTTTGCAGGGCCAGGATAGGTATGGAACACAGCACCAAAGGCTCGGTAGTTGTGCCTTAAACGTCGAGATCGCAGACATGGAAACAGCGTCTACAGCTAGATGAAGATAACAAGTCGTTAACATCAAGTATGAGTAATGACAATAGTGTTAACCGTAAAAATACCTTTGCACGGCACACCGCTTCACTCTGAAATGAGCCCTGACCGCTGCTTCGTACGACGTGGATCAGATGTACGATGCGCTCTACGTAGCGTTTTTTGGTGACTGACTATCCACGCTGGACAGAGACTTCCGGTTTGATTTTTCAAACCTAGTGGATAGCAACGGGATACGTGCCTTGCAAATAAATGCGTAGAACGAATAAAATAATCAGAAACATCACACGACACCGCACTGATGTTTGTCTGCGATGCGGACGGCGCTGGACTAACTAGCAATGTTTTTCCAAGCAAACGTTTAACAAATGCAGTATCTGTGTATTGGTCTTTATTGGAGCTTCGTAATTGTGATTTTATTCAGGTTAGAAATCGTGCATCATATATCAGGTATGACGGTGACTCTTCATTCGCCTGTTGCTGCTTTGGTCTCTCGCTTGGCCTGAGCTGCTGCAATCTATCAACAGACAATAATGATCACGTTTAAAGATTATAAATCAAATACAGTACTGCTTGGCGAAATTGGGGCCTTATCTTGCCTTGGCTGCCATGGCTTCTTTTCGACTGCCAAACTTGCGATTTTTGCCGTGGATACGGCTTGCCTGACCGCTGGCAGATGTTGCAGCAATCGCCTGCGCCGCTGTTTCCTCGCACGCCAATTTAAGCTTCAGTGCCGTTCTTTTATGCTGAATGTCTGCCATATTGCCAGACTATCATAAAGGAACAAATCGAAAATGTGGTCTATCACAATGTAAATTATAAGTATTTGTAAGGTATCGGTAAGCGAGTTTTGGAAACTATAAAGATGCGGTGTGTGGAGGAACTAATCGACTTTTGACGTGCACTGTGTAGCTTAAAAAATGGTTCATTTGGCAAATATTATGCCCATGCATAGATGCATATACTTCGAAGAAGGCGCGCTCGCAACAACCCTCAAAAACCCAAATAGCTCAATTTATGGGCTGTCAGTGTTCACGATCTGTTGACCATATTTGAGCATCTTTTGATTTGAGTCACTAATCGGAAAAAACTAAATTGAAATAGCGCGCAATAAATTATAATGCGGTGCGACAAATCCTCGCCTAAGAAAATTGCTCTCACCGTGGAAGGTGCGAGTGCGTATTTACTCGCACAATATATCCCGGACTAACACAGCATCTCTTTCGCTATGGCTATTTAATCTGTTGAAGCTCCAATTTGGAAATCATACCTGGCCGTCCGTTCATACTCGCCAAGAACTCAGGCCAACAACGCGGCGGAAAATGGGAATCAAAATACTTACAACCAAAGTTTGCGTGCTCAAAAGCGTATGAGGTCGCTTTTGTGTCGTGGTAAAAAACAAGAGCTCAAAAATGGCATCTGGATGACGCTAGGCACGCAGTTGAAGACGCAAAGCGTTGGTCGTGAGGACGCCGATGAAGTGTTGACAGGTATTCGCAACTATTGGAATGGTCTTAGCGTCAATGAGCGCCAGCAGATATTGTTTCTGGACGATCCCGAGCTCGTTACGCAACTCTACAAGCTGAATCTGAGCTTACTTTGCGTTGGGCTTCTGCAGCGCCACCTGAGAAAGTCAAATCGAACAGCCACCATCACAGCAAATGTTAGCGAGAAAGAGGTCGGTACTAAAATGACGGTTAAAGCGTCTACAATCCCAACCGTTGTCACTGCAGATACCATGCACCTATCGTCGCCACCGATGTGTGCAACGACAGCTACGTCCGAGGAAAAGGCGTATGAGCTTCTTGAAGCGATGGAGTTCATGGATATTGGTACTGGTACGAGCTAGCTGATAATGAGACATGGTTTCCACCGGAACTGATATTATCTTATCATAGGTATTCTTACGGTCAAAACGGACCTTGTTGAGACGACAGACTATTTTTTCACACTTGGTGAGAACGTACTCACTGGATTCTTAACGTCAATCCACGTGCTTAAAGATAGTGAGTTCACAAAACTTTTTGTCAAAGAAAGCGAAATGATAAACAGTTGGGCTAACTACCAGCGTCTCATTGCGATGCTTTTAGAGCAGGTAATGTCCTATTTTTTTCTGTGGTCATGAGTGATATTTGTAACGCTACGTGGTTGCAACGTCAGCTTATTCTGCGGAGTTACGTCTTGTATTTGGAAAATGAGGCAGTACACAAAATGGAGGAGTTATTGCTCATAGTTTCATTCGAAAACAAGTCAAATGATAATGGCGGAAATGCATCTTCTTGCCGAAAAAAGAAAAACAAAAAGAAAAAAAAGAAAAAAAAGAAAATTCTGACAGCTTCTGCGAGTACTACTCACCACCGATACAATACTGAGGCTGTAGAGTGTTGCTCCAATAGCATATTATTAGGAGACATAAACGACAAAGCCATGGAGGAGGAGTCAATTACTAAAGCAGTGTCTGAAGTCAGGGCAGAAGGTGTCTATCAGTCAAACGTACCAACAGCTTTTACCGAGAATGGCATCGAGAGTATTTATCAAGTAATGCCCGTAGACGTGGAACCAGTCTTGAAAAAATTATCAAGTCTCAATCCTAATGCCCTAGCTTTCCAGCCCCAGGGTTATGTTTCAGAAGTAAAAGACGTGAAATGTGGTCGAAGCCCACTCGCTTGCAAACAAATGTTTGAAACCCATCGAGTAAGTGTGTCTTGGGAAGATGTCGAGAGCGATGCAGGCAGCGCAAGTGATAGTGAGACTTTTGACGGAGACACGTTAGATATTGAAAAGGAGGTTGATGGAATCAGCTTTCAGCGCCCGTGGCGAAGGAAGCTGTGTAGACGAGAAGAGGACGCAAAATTAGAATGGCAGCTGCAACAAGTATACTTGTCGACATCGTCGCTGTTCGGTTGGGACTTTACGCGGCAGTGCAAGCTGTCGGACTCTAGCATGAAAGTACCTTGGAGCGAGAGAAATCTGTGGAGGACGGCGCCAGAAGAGGTGGTACGATTCTTTTCGTATACTAACGGCGATCCATACGCCAAATTTCACGCGTCTCAGTATTTACCGACAACAGCAGGGATTTCACCGTCGCGATATTATTACAACCCGGACCAGTCGATGCCATTTAACCCTCCTCTCTTGCCTAGGCTACCTTCACCACATGGTAACGACTTTCAAAGCTCGGGGCTTTCCACTGTGGTGGTTTCATCTCCTCACTTTCGTTATGGCCATTTGAGGAAACATGAGAGTCAAGCAGATATTTAAGAATGATAGTGTTTCTCATCAAATATATGTACGAGGAAGCAGCACATTGGATATAGTCATTTTTTTCCACAAATCTATGCCGCCCATTTTTTGGCTTATATTTCAAGCTTGCCTAAATCAAAGAGACGTTTTTGGTGGACGTTAAGTATTACCAACCAGCGGGTATGCACCACGAAGCGAGGCTGCAACGACCTTCAAGACGTTCACGTGGATGAACCTTTACCGTTACAAAGACTTTCTTTAAGAGATATAACGACAAGCAAAGCAATTTATCGTGTTTATATATAAGATTTTCTTTATTGAAAAAAGCTGTTCAATTTAACGATATTCATTCGATACATCGGTGTCCTTTTGAAGCCAAAAGACCGACGCGGCCGGTGACGGATGCATTCAGGCAATTCGATTCAGTCACGCGCCGCCTTTCTGCGTCATGCCGCAACGCAGCGGTGGCTTGTGAAAGATGAATTGGTGTTTCTGCTGATACACTACAGAGTTGTAGGTGTGCCCATTTCTTGCTCGCGACAAACTCGGTCTCCAAGTACGTTTTGTTGTCGCGCAATTGCACAGGAACTCATACTGACACAACTAAGATGGTTTATAGGTGGTACTTTGCTGTTCTACAATACGTTGAAACTATCAGACTACAAGAATGATGGATGGCACTGGCAGAAGCGTAAGGACAAGGGTGAACGCGTGCGTGAGGACCGCGCCAAGCTTGTGATTAACCGAGATGTCGTCATTCTGGGGACGTATGTACACTCTGCCGAAATTCCTGTACGCTGACGGTTGGTCATAGCCTGAAAATGTTGTAATGTTCTTGCTAATCTTTGTAACTTAAGACATTTCATCGAAGAATTTATTCACTGCGCGAATCGAAGGAGAGTATCGTCCTTGTTCACTATTTTGACGAGGTCAACAAGGTATATGAGACTTGTCGCCCATCTTTACTATTAAAGTCGAGCCTTCATAGCACGTCCCTAGAATCTACTCAGTCCCAGCGGGTTGCCAAACCTTGTACTTCAACAATAGATGTCATTCCACACCTTCGGCAGTCTAGTCTACCTGAATCATCATTGAACGCAGCAAGGCATGATGATAGTACGAAAAGTCTACTTTTTCTTGCTGATCCAAAAGCTAAGAAGATGTTTTGATTTTTTTGATCTTGTACAGATTATTCCACATCATACCAAGTTTACTCCCCATATATTGATGATGCGGATCTTCTATTATCAAATAATGTTGTGACAGATGGACTTGTTAATTTCTTCAGTGAGGACGATCCCTTTTATGATATGTCCATATTGTTGTCACCGGAAAAATATGCCGACAGCTCAGGTCAGCAGACGTTTGAGCAGGTCGAGATTTCGGATTTTTCACCAGATTGGGACTTTGAAAATGGTGGAGCGAAGCTACTTATCTGCTTGGCAGCAAGTCTACCTGAAATAGCCGCTCAAGAGCCAGCAGCAATATTCGTGCAATTTGGGACTGAACGAGTTCATGCTGAAAAAATTTCAGACACGGTATTGCGCTGCACTGGTACATTTACAGTAACTTTTGATTTCTTAGTGGTGGTACAGATATAATGCACATGTCTATGTTGTGTGCGTTTTTGCTTTAGCTCCACGTTCGAAAAAACTTGGAAGCGTTGACATGTTTGTGTGTCATTGGCATGAACCGCAAGAATGCATACAACTGTCCCACAAGAAGCAGTTTACCTATCGAAACTCCTGTCACGTGTCACCTCTCTTTACAGGCAGTATTACAAATAAATCAAAAGAAGGATTTTATGATGCTTCTGATCTATCATCATCATGCTCTGCGCATGCTGGTAAACGCGTTCGATCACCTTCTCATCTTTCTCGAAGTATGTCTGTAAAACATTCGAACGAACGATGCGCTGGATCTAACAAGAATCTTTCGACGTTTGTCGAGTCAGATCGTAAGTGAGCGATCAAATTGTTTCATTTTGTGGTGTTTCCATTCATTTCTTTTGATACAGTGGACGAGCGGCAATGCAAGATTCGAGTCGTGGAGCGACTGTCTGAGTTTCACCATGCAATTTATATCAATTCAGCCAGTGAGGTCCCATTGCCTTCTGCTACCACGAGCATATACAGCAAGGACGATGAAACTGGGAAATCAGAAGAGGATTTGTCTTTACGAAATATAGTGCTAACCTCCGACTCATCGACCACCCAAGCGTCTTACGATGTACCCACCCAACAAAGGACTCCAATAATTGCTTCTACTGAATCTGCTATATCATCAACTTCTTCAAGCGATACATTTATTGCATTAGACGACCGCGCTATCGAGGCACTGAGTGATCATGAATTAGAGCAGCTTTCGGACGAATTACTGGAGCGTGTAGTACGCCAACTTGTGACTGTCGCACACACGAGCGAAGAGCTGCTGGAGGAGCTGAATTCTTTGGATGAAACAGGCTTGAGCTTGCTGCATTACGTGAGCTTTTACAACTATTCACAATTGGTGCCAGTTCTCATAGCTCATGGCGCTCACATAAACCAGCAAAGCACTCAAGGGCAAACAGCACTTCACCTAGCAGCCGGATGTGGCCATACTAACGTAGTGGATGTGCTACTGCAATCTGGGGCAGACTTGCAATGCCGCGATTTCGATGGTCTTACTGCTGCTGATCGCGCGGAAAAGTCAGGACACGCCGATGTCGCTGCCAAGTTGAACCACCAGATTGAAAATGAGGCTTTCAGTTTGCCCTGTGATCCAGTGGATACTTTTTACTGCTCTCATGGATCGCCAATGGATCTGGATAATGACCTGACACCCTATCACGACGCCGGAGATTTGGGCCTTTTAGCAGAAATAGATTTCGTACATGCTGCGCATCCATCACAGTCTTCCATTGCCAATTGTTGCGAATGTCAACATGACACGACGTCATTATCAAAGGCGACTTCCTATGTAAGTGGTCAATGATCAAATAGTTTCGCAGTTGTTTGATAAATGATTGTGCTCGTTGTGACCATACAGGTGGGAGAAAATCAAGAGCACAATCGAAAGTTTTTGCTGGGGGCCTTTTCGACGATGAGTTTACATGATAAGTGTGCGCTGTCGCTAACAATTTCGCGCGAGTCTGGGAGTCACGTTGCTCGACGTAGAGACAATAGTGTTGGCGACGAAAATTTTCTTTCCCCTTGTAGCAGTAGTACCGGAACTTCGGTAGGATTTGGGTCTTCACCGGCAAGCATGGTTGGCATGGACGCCAGTCTTGCTGGAGGACGATTAATGCTGTCTGGTAACGAGAATGACTCGGATGTGCAGAGTGTGATTGCTGAAGATGAGGAGAGTCTCAATAAACTTCAAGCAGCAATGGAACTCATGGGTCCAGAAGAAATACAATCGTTAGAAGATGAGGTGAAGGTACTTCAGCATGGCATTCGAGCATGGTTGCTCAAAAGAAATTGTAGAAACATGCGTGAGACGACTATACAGCTCCGCGAAGCTACTCAGAGTATTGCGGACCAGCAGAAGCAGCGAGAAGCAGCTGAGCTTGAAGCTTTCATGACAAACGAGCTCTCAGACCGTGAGCGTGCAGCTGTGACTGTTCAGGCAGCAACTCGCACCATGCTGGCCCGACGTAGTTTTTTGCAGGCAAAACACGTTGCTATCAAATTTCAAGCAGCCACGCGAGGTATTCTTTGTCGCAAAAATTTTGCGCGAATGAAAACGCAAGCTTTAGCATCACTGGTGATCCAACGTAATGTCCGCGAGTGGTGGAACAAGCAGCCAGCCGCTACTCGCCCAAACACCATCGAACACGACATAAATGACGAATTTGAGAATTTTCATGAAAAAGGAAATTTCAATTTGTATGTGCAAAGCGAAAGCTAATCAAGCACCTAAAGCTTGGAAGTAGTATACCACAGTTCAGCTACATCTCAAACTCTATGTTTTACTTTACTTTGCCGTTGCCTAACATTAGATCATGCTACATGCGCTACAAAACCAATCACCAATATTACTCCCTCGCTCCAAATCCCTCGTCAGAGTATTGCCGAAAGCCTTGGATGGGGGGCGTCCAAGTGGCGAAGCCGCGCTCCTCCGGCACAGGAGAATCGTCGATCTCCAGTGCTTCTGCTTGCAGTTCCGCAGGAAGCGCATTGATTGCCTCCCACTTTAAATCGATTTTGGTCTGTACGTCACGCATGAAATGGTTGTGCTCAATTGTTGTCATGATGTTGTAGCGGCGGCCGATTTCCTGATGGCGTTGCTTTTCCTCTTCTGTCCACTCTTCGCTGTAACAGAAATGGAAGGCAATCAATCAAAGGTATTACACATTGACAAGACTATACTAATAGATCGTACGCGTCGGGATATTGACCTTTAATGGCACGCAGCATCTGCTCGAAGTTGTCATCGCCACCCTTTTTGCCCTTTACTTTTTCCTTTCTGGATGCGAATCCGCGAATACTTGGAAATCTTGCAACCAGAAGGGCTAAAGAGCCCGATCTATTGCGCTTAGTGCTCACAATTGTCCCGCTACGCAGCAGTGTTGCCATATTACGTGATAAGCTGTTGCACCAATCAATTGCGATATTTAAGTCCGAATAGTACCCAGGAATTTGTGGTACAGTGTACCATGTGCATATGGTACAACGTGTTCAGGTAATAGACGGTGGATCAGCCGTTCCACCCATCAATCGGGTAAATAAATGTTGCTAACTTCGAGTAAAAAAATTGCCACTTCTCTTCAATGTCGTCATTCGATACAGTCGATGGGTGCAATCTTGGGTACGCGCCATATATGAAAAAACATCAACTACAAAAAGCTTCACAATGATTTGATTATGATATTTTGTAACCGAATACGTACCCTTTTATTGTGCCCTTGGAACATTAGACGTATACGATGATGCAGTTAGCGTGACTGGTAGAAAGAGTGATGAGGTAAGTGGTTCGTATATACAGTATTCGTTTTCCTAAGTCCGCACCTTGATCTCTGATTGCACTTTATGCGCATTGCAGCCAACGCCTCGAAATAATTGAGAAAATGAAGTTGCCAGCTAGCAAAACTCTTTTCACGCGGAGCCTAGCGAGATCGTATGATGCTAACGACAACCCCATTCGTGAAATTTTGGCTGCAGCAGACAAGCGAGCAATTAACACGGAAGTCACAATACGACTGGTTTTATATTCTTAAGCATTAAGATTTTTGGAGGAAAGATCGTTCAACACGGACCAGAATCAAAAGACAACTTTTACGAGTTCATTGAAGATTGCCGTAGGCAATCCTTTGAGCTGCCGCCCTCAATTGTGGTAATTATAGCTAAACGAATCGTGGAAACGATAGATTCATAGCGAGTTGGGGCTAATGATGAGATTTTCGTACAAAAAAGGGACTGTAGTTCATCGGTGGTGTCGATATTACGATTCATCAAACTCTAGAAGCACTGTAAGAAATTTGAGGAGGTTTTAAAGGTGTATGACCCAAGTTGCGTCTAAAAAATGGACGAAACAATTCGTTTGCCGCCTTGCTATCCAGTTTTATTGCCCTCCGATAGAAGATATCATGATCTGATAAATGATCAAAATCTGTTTGGGAGGGCGCGCCTCGTCTCAATTTCGCAGCATCTGGGGTCACTCTTTACAGTCAAAGATGCAAAAACTTAGAGACTTTAGGTCAAACGCTCTTCCTTGTAACTTATGAGTTATGTACGGGTCTCAATGAATGCCAACAAATTTGGTATATACGCTTTTCCTATCTTTTGATGCGGAAATTGAAAATTAAGGAGAGACCCGTCCACAGTGGAATTCGGAAGACCATATAACTTAAACTACGCTTTAGTTAGGACAAATTCATTTTAAATACAGTGTCAAGGACGAGGCGAAAATCGACGACGTTAAAGCTCTCAAAACTATCTTGAAGGCTCAGCAGCATCTTCTACACTTTTACTAGTGTCTCCGTCGCCAGACACAGATATCGCATTTGCACTTGGAATCCTCAATGCTTCCACGTTTTGTCGCGTTTTTTACCGTCGTGCGTCGTACGTAATTGCACGCGCTCCGAATTCTATCAGAAATTTTCACGGACTTGCAAAGTCTGGAACGTTGGTGTTACCAACCAGAACCGAGGACTTTCAGTTCCAAATTTCGCTACAAGAGTGGCTCTTGATACAGCCGTCACCCGCTGACCATATCCTCCACGAAATGCAATTTAAACTGACTTGATTCTTCCTCAGAAAATCACCCTGCGCCGATTGAAATTTTCAAGGAGATTTGCTGGACGATCTTGTGCTGAAGCTCAAACTCTGATCCAAAAGCCAAAAAGGTACGCAAGGGCTGAATGTTCGTATTTTTTTAGATGAACGTGCTCGACAGCCAAGAGATATTTTTGTTCCATCTCAACACGACTGCAATTCGTCGTTTTATGAGTACCCCATCCGGCTTTCATCACACAGGAGCAGTTTCCCACCTTCAAATTAGCACCTGCCGCTACATTACAGTGGTATGATGGGCGCTAGAGACGGTGGGGCAAGCCACACCCGTTCAATGGCACTTATGAAGTTGGTAACAGTCACCGCCTCCGGGAGAGGGCCTTATGTCATCGCAGCGATAAATTTTCTGAGCTCCAGAACACAAATCTCGTTTTTTTTGACCGCATCGGATTTGCCTGGCTGAGCGAAGTGATCATTTGTGACATATGACGCACTCAATATTCACATTTTAAAAACGCGTCTTCCACGGATGGTTTGCACGTTATTGCCTACATATTACTAGTTTGGAGACGGCAAGTGCGACGTGCTATCGATCTATCAGGTACATAGGTAAATTTACTGTCATCTGTACTTTCTTGAACTAGATAATTAGATCATCTCCGTTTCTAATGTGAGAGGACTGAATGCTCAGCATTAGTGGCCTCATGGTTACAGTTTATCCCGCTCCCAACAAATTTTAGCTGAGGCATTCTTGAAGGGGTCTTGTCCCCGCATATCTCCGAGCTGTTAAGCGCTTCCCGGCGAGCGAATACCGCTTTTGTCCCTTGGGCCACCCTTCTTCATTCTCTTCAGGACCAGCCATAAGCGTACCAATAATTATGGCTGTCTGGATGCAGATAATTGGTCCGAGCTCCACCCTCAAAGAGGAATAGCTCATTCACAATTTTGTCGCAGGATTGTAGTCAAGTAACAGCATGTGCGACCAGGTTGCCGTATTTTATATAGAAGGTTGGACTCAGGGAAGCAGCGTCAGCGAACGTACAGAGATTGTTTCCGTACGCTCTAGCCATGAGCGAGCTCGGGAATCTCTACCGTAACTAGATGTGTATGGTGCCCAACTATACCAAGAGCAGCATATTTCAGGATAAATCCTATTCATAACTAAATATCAATATTAACTACATCCGATAATTCAACTAACGTTATTGCTCGACAAGTGGCCAACAGCCAATCTATACCACAGATCTTTCTTTGACCAAATTCTATCGTCTTTATAAGCACTGATACTTCAATGACCATGATTACACATTGCTACACTAAAGTTTAGTGTGATTTTGTACGATTGTACGATGTTGTGCTTTCCACAGTTGCACAGACGTGCAAGGTGCATGTTTCGAATAGTCATCAAACATGAATGTTTTTTACTTAGATTATTTGAGTCATCGCAGTGCAAAACGAGTTTCGAGTTCTTATTGTTTTATTTTCAAGAGTGACATACTGAGAACTATATCTAGGCAAATGATAATAACGTTTTTTTCTTGATCGAGTCAATCTCGAATAGATCCATTATCCACTACCCCGCTGTAATGACAGCAGATCATCAGACAAAAATCAAGGATGAATGGCTCTAGATGATCGCCTGAATAGAAAATAGATTTTGTCTTCGATCTGTGGCACCCTGCCACGACGGTCAGGTATGGCGGAACGGCGCAATGCCATCCCAATGTGGCAAGAGCAAGAACTTATAATGTGGAATGTAGAATATCGCGGGCGTAAGCCCAGAAGAGACGTTGCCTATGTTTAATTTTTCGGTCTTGCTGCGGACGGTGCCGCAGTCAAGAAGTGAGTGTCGAGCACGACAGACATTATGGCGGCTATACTACACCAGATGCGTTTGTTCTGGTGGTGACCCCAATCTCGCATCCA